AGATTATCAAATGGAATTCATTTCAAAATAATATAGAAAATGGTCAGCGTGTATGTTTAATTATCATGAAATGAAACTTTAATTCCATCTGTCATATTTTATGTTTAATAGTTAGTTCGGTTGGACCGTTGTCCGGAAAATAAACTTTAGTTACATAACCTCAAACCGCTACTATGAGTGTTGCACATGTTTTCTCTATAGTTATGAATTCTTTATGCATTATATCCTCGAACAACTAGCTAAATTAAATTAGTTCAAAATTCTCTTCTTTCAATCAATAGAATGCTAAGTTTTCATTTGTTTTGCAGAAATGGAATAGATTTAAAGGGATTTGGATTTTAAATAATTTTAATCTCATGTTTGGTTTGTTAAATTATCCGGATTTGAAATCCTACAACATAGAATTTTGAAATTTATAAGGGATGCTCGGGATTTCATAGGATTATATGAAATAAGGTTTTAAAAAATGTTAAGTATATTTTTATAATAATCGATTAACAAAATGTAATTTAACTATTTTTATAATTTTTTGTATAAATGATGAATTCCGATTTTATTCCAAATCCTACAAACCAAACACATCAATGATTTCAAATTCATTCCAATCCAAACCCCTGAAAAACAATCCTGCAAACCAAATGGACCTTAACGTTTTGTTTGGTTTATAGGAAAGGAATAGATTTGGATTTCAAATTCGTTTCAGTCACATGTTCGATTTATAGAATTGTTCAGGCTTGAAATCCCAGGACTTATAGGATGGTTGGGATTTTGTGGGATTTCTATATAATAATGTCTTAAAATATGTGTAACACACTTGTTTTCTAATAATTCATTAATAAAAAGGTAATTTAATTACTTTTGTAACTATCTATAATTTTTTAAAATTATTTATAAAAAATGAAATTTCATTTTATTCCAAATCCAACAAACTAAACACACTAAATCCTTCCACGAAATCCAAATCCTTACAAAAAAATCATCAAACCAAACGCCTGGTAAGTTGTTTTTATCAAATAGAATCCTAGGCTATAGACAAATAGAGGACGGTCTATGTTATTAGTGATGGGGCAAATTCTTCTAGTTCTGAAGGAGTCATGAGTCACATATTAACTTAAAAGCCGTTTATCAAACACTTATTAGGGTAAGTGCTTACTAAGTCAAATTACCTTATCGGATGAATATATGACAAGTACCAAGAATCTTACCCGGTAAGAGCAAAGTCAAGAACTTGATTCTTGCCCGGTAAGTAAGGGCGATGAGTCTTACCGTGGTTAACACTTACCAGGTAAATTGTTGTATACGGTAACGTTTTAGTGGACAAAAATCTTAACCGGTAGTAAATGATAATGTTGAATTTTATCGTTTGGTAAACGATCCCCTAGTCTTTTTTCTGTTTTTCATAGTCCTAGTCTTGAGGAAATAGTTGCTAGTTTTTAGCTATTTCTTGTAACATCTTTCTGTTTAGTCATCGGCTTATATACCGCTGCTTTGATTTATTAAACGATACGGCTTCCAGAGCTTCTTTGTGTGTTCTTGTTTAAACTCAGCAGCTCAACAAATTGGTATCAGAGCAACCACTGAGGTTTGATCAATACTGAAGCAGCAACTTACGAGCTAAGAGTGTATAGAGAGATGTGAGAAGAGAAATTGAAGTCGCCTCAGTTTGATGGACATCGGGATCATTGTAATGAAATCATGGAGAACCACCTTAGAGCCAAGGGGTTATGGAGCTTTGTAGAAAATGGCTTTGAGGAACCTCCACCAATGGCATTACTAACAGAGGCACAAAGAAGTCAATTAGAGGATGCAAGAACAAAGATCGTAAGGTCAAACACTACCTATTTCAGTCCATCCATAGGGTAACGTACGGATTCTTAATCGAAGAACATCAAAGCTCATCTGGGAGTCGCTGAAAAGGAAGTTTGCTGGCAATACACGTGTGAAGAAATCTCCATTGCAGAAACTAAGGAGAGATTTTAAAGTTCTGGAGATGAAG